ACTTCAGTTCTACCCTGAGGATGGCACTTTTCAGGTACAAGTTGCTAATTATTACCTTTCCTAAGGGAATGTCTGAGTGCAGGAGCCTGAAATGCCTCAGCAGGCAGAAGGACTGCTGATACCAAAACAACTGTGGTGGGTCTACAGGCAGTCCCCAGTGCCAGCTCCTCCTCACTGCCTTCCCTTCCACCCTGGGTAGGCCAATTACTGATGACACAGTTGTAAAGAGTCTGGGTCTTACTCTGTCACCAGCCTGAAGCACCACTACATATTCACAGATCACTGTAGCCTCAAACTCCTGGGCTCATGTGATCCTCCTGCCTCAGCCTCCCAAGTAGTTGAGACCACAGGAGTGCACCATAATTCCTGGCTGATTTTTCTTACTTTTTGTAGAGATGGGGTGTCACTATGTCACTCAGGCTAGTCTCAAACTCCTGATGTCAAACAATCCTCCTGTATCTCAAAGTGCTGGAATTACAGGCTTGAGCCATTATGCCTAGGCTTTTTAAAAAAACATTTTTTTATTAAATGAAAGTATTCTTACAGAACATTTTAAATGACTTCCTGTTTTCTTCTTTTCTCAGCAAAGCAGCTCTTCAAAGAAAGCCCAGCTGTAAGATGCAAACTGTGTGCATTCCTGCTAGGCTGTGACCCATCACTGCAGGAGCTACAAGGAGCTCTGTAGCAGCTAGGCTGGCCCCAGCTTGACCTCTAGGCCACTCCACCCAGGAAGTCCTGATGCGTGGCAGGGACACCAGGGGGTCATGTGTCATGAGCTGCTCAGAGTGTGGCTGTGGCCTAAGCAAGCACCAGTGCCTGAAGCAAAGGACTGGAGGACAGGCCACTCACCTGGAAGAGCCCGTGGTGGTGCACCACACCGTCCTGCGTGTGGAGGAGGGAGAGCAGCGAGTACTCGGTGTGCAGCAGCATCTTGCCTTGCCTCTCCTCTTGGCTCTCTATGCCTTGGTCCCCTCTCTCCTCAAGGGTCAGGATCTTTAGCAAAGTACAAAAACAAAACTGAAAAGCCAGGACACTTTACAAAGAGGAATGATCAGAACAAGGCAGGGGTCAGGGAGCTCATTTTAACCGTGACACATTTGGGCACAACAAACAATCACCAAGTAAAACTGCTTTTCTTTTTTTTTGAGACAGAGTCTTACTTTGCTGCCCTTGGTAGAGTGCTGTGGCATTATAGCTCACAGCAACCTCAAACTCTTGGGCTCAAGTGATTCTTTTGCCTCCGCCTCCTGAGAAGCTGTCTGGTATGGGTGCCTGCCATAATGCCTGGTTATTTTTTCTTTTTTTTTTTTTTTTAGAGATAGGGTCTTACTCTTGCTCAGCCTGGTCTTGAGCTCCTGAGTTCAGGCAATCCACCTGCCTCAGCCTCCAAAGGTGCTAGAATTACAAGCATGAGCACCTGTGCTCACGCCTGCCCTTAAAATTGCCTTTTTTGTTTTTGAGACAGAGTCTCACTATGTTGCCTTTAGTAGAGTGCCAGGGCACCATAGTGATTCTCTTGCCTCTGTCTCCTTAGTAGCTGGGACTATAGGTGCCCACCACAACACTGGCTATTTTCTGAGACAGGGTCTTGCTCTTGCTCAGGCTAGTCTTAAACTCCTGAGCTCAAGCAATTCGCTAGGATTGAGCCACTATGCCTGGCCTTGAAACTACTTTTCTTAATGTCAATGTATGTAACTTAGGCACAAAGCTCTTTAAACCAGGAGTTGCTTCCTGTGTGAACCTGATTGCTTCGTGAAAAGAAATGATGACTGCCCCCATTACAAGCGATGTAGATAAGATGATGGGGTAAGGAGGAGTGGGCCCCTACACCTCACTCACCTTCAGCTGATAGAAGTCATCTGTGCCATCTTTCCTTGCCAGACACTGCACGATGCTTGGCACTGGCGAGTTGCC